GACAGACCGATGGACAGCATGTCTAACATTAATTACATAGTATTTTACAAAATACATAACAATTGGCTAATTTATGGCTCACTTTTACCATTAGGCTTTGCCGGAACTCCTGGCTATTTATCACCCGAAGTACTTAAGAAGGACCCGTACGGCAAACCTGTTGATATCTGGGCCTGTGGTAAGACTGATTATGCTCACATCAAATTACTAACATCCATTTGTCATGCAAACCGTATTTGACGCATTTCTCACATGTGTATTTTATCTTGTTACAATGACCAGGGGTAATACTGTACATATTATTAGTTGGTTACCCACCGTTTTGGGATGAGGATCAGCACAGACTTTATGCACAAATAAAGGCCGGAGCTTATGATGTAAGCGCTATTAACTGCTATTAACTCAATATAAATAATAGAATTCATTAATTATTAACAGTGTTTTTTGAATAAATTATATTTTATTCAACGCATTCATTATATAATGATATATATTATGTAGATATTTGCAGAATATTCTGTTTTATTTTTGCAAAACAATATGCCATAGAATGTAATCTAAACTTAATATTCATTTCTCTTTCTTTCCCTTCTTTTCTATTCACACGACTCTTTTCATCAACTCTTTTCTGTCTACAAAATATATATATAACCAAAAAAACTATATTTCTTTGCAATATTTTACGGAAAATATATATTTTCATCAATCATTGACAACAATAATAACAACAACAAAAATCAACGCATGAAAAATGGGAAACAAAACAAAAAATATATTTGTATTTATTATAAATATTGATAAAAATGGTCAATAATTTTTGTTAACCACACGACACACACAACCGCAACAAAACGGGAAACTCTGGCCAATGATTACACCATTTGTGTTGAATACAAAACGTACGGCCCATTAGTATCCGTCTCCAGAATGGGATACAGTGACACCGGAAGCCAAGAACCTAATCAACTCAATGCTGACCGTGAATCCGGCCAAACGGATAACAGCGGCCGAAGCCCTGAAGCACCCGTGGATTTGCCAACGGGAAAGAGTCGCCTCAACTCTGCACAGACAGGAGACGGTCGACTGCCTTAAGAAATTCAAGCGGTCTGCTTTCGACTTCCCGCGATATGACTGGTGTTACGACCGGTGAGCGTTGAAAAGATCATTCAGGAGTAGGCTTGCTTCAGGGTCAGGATTGGGTGGGCGGCCACGGCTACGGCCGCGGCGGTCCGCCGCCGCCGCTGCCCAACACTCTGATACCTAAGTCGGCGTTTTATTTAGTTATCTGTATTGTTATAATGGGTTTTGATAAACGTGTGTTAATTTGATTATAATCATGTTTGGTTTAACTCGTATTTAATTTGATTTAAAATAATGGTCACTAATATTTGCGGATGATTTTAATAAGTAATGTTAACGTTATGTGTTTTATTTAATTATTATTTTATATATTGAATTAGTTTTAGTCCACCTGTTTGTTTGTAGCTGTAATTATTGAGTTTATTATATGTCTGTTTTTCTGAATTATTATAACATTAATGGTTACCATTTGAAACCCAAGAGTTTTTAAAAATACTTTAAATTAAATTTAACGAAAATTGATTGAAATTTTGATCAAATAAAAGGGCAGATGTATGACTGAAATACACTTTTAATGCGATATTATATCGTAATTATGCTAACTATTTAGGAAGGAATTTATGAAATACTAATTTGACAAAAACATTCCTTAAATAACATATTATTTAGCCATATATTTAACAAATAATATCTTTATATTATTAATATTTAAAATATTTGCTCATCAAATATGTGTCCAAAAAACTGTGTCCAATGAATACAATATTGTTGTGATTGATATACAAATTAATATTCGTATTTATCCTTATTATCAATTTATGGGTAAACTATTTACCAGAAAACTAAATACACTTTATATTATATGATATAAAATATATTTCTAATTCTAAGTTAGTTAAATCTTCTATGAAATGTGATTACAAAATACAGTACAGTATTGGGTGTAATAACCCATTAACAGAATTGAAAATAAAGGCAAAAATACTAAAAGCTTGTAATTACAAGAAAAGTCAATTAAAATTCAATGTTAAAGACATTATACATACAGTGTTTACCAGAATGAGAGAGAAAATAAGTTACTTTATTTATCAATTGTCATGATTTATAGCTAATATTCTGTATATAGTGTTGGAAACAAAAGCCATACTAAATGGGCTAATAATCTAATCCTTGGCTCACGTTTTTATTGCTTTTTATGCAATAATTCTTAATATTTGTTGTGATGTTTAACGCTATTAATAATGATTAATATAATCTAATATTACATTTTCACGATCGGCTCACATGAGCCGTATATTCCCAATTCAAGCCAACGTTTCACTGGTTATTGCATTTGATGAGCACATAAATACACTA